TCTTCGACTCTACCTTACGGTCACAAGAGAAACGATGGGGGCAATGCTAGCACAAGAGATCGAAAGCAAGGAGAATGCAATCTATTACTTGAGCAAGAAACTCCAAGGATATGAGACGCGATACACGCCACTCGAGAATTTGTGTCTCGCACTTGTATGGGCCGCATAAAAACTAAGACATTACATGCTCACTCATACAGTGCATGTCGTGTCCAAGATGGATCCTCTCAAATACTTGTTCGAGAAAGCAACACTCAACGGTAGATTATCAAGGTGGATAGTCAATCTGGCTCAGTTTGACTTGAGATTTGTGCCACAAAAAGCCTTCAAAGGTTCTGTAGTTTCTGACTTCTTAGCAGACTTTCCACTAGAAGAAGCTGAAAAAGAAGAAGATGAGTACGATTTCCCTGATGAAGATTTACTCATGACCGAAGACGATAGTTGGACGCTCTATTTCGATGGAGCTTCAAACCAAAAAGATGTGGTGTAGGAGTCTTACTCGTATCACCCAATGAAGAACACATCCCAATTTCCATGAAGCTCGATTTTGATGTCACCAACAATGCCGCAGAATATGGAGCATGCATTTTGGGGTTGGAAACAGCTATCGCCTTGGGAATTAAGATAGAATCTATGGTGATTCTTCACTAATCATTAACCAAATCTCTAAGAGATGGAAAGTGAGAAGTGAAAGTCTCGCTATGTATCAAGCTCATCTAGAAACTCTCACGGAGCAACTAGATGAAGTGGAATATACGTACTTGCCAAGAGAAGAAAACCAGTTCGCCGACGCACTAGCTAAATTAGCATCAATGGTGCAAATTCCAGCTGACACAATCAGAATGCCACTGACCATAGAGAGAAGACATGAGCCAGTGTATGTTCATGCACTTGACGATGAACAAGAACCACAGGAAGAAGATGAAGAGCCATGGTATACAGACATCCTTAATTATGTGACAAGAGCAGAATATCCTCCTAATACTGATAAAAGGGCACGCCGTGCTTTGAGGCTCCTGGCCTCACAGTATGTGCTCATCAGGGGAGAACTCCACAAGAGAACTGCAACAGGAAGGAATCTCTTATGTATAGCCAAGAAAGAAGCACATAAAACCATGGAAAACCTTCATGCTGGTATATGTGGAACTCACATGAATGCAAAGATGTTAGTCCAAAAGATTCAACGTCAAGGTTACTATTGGACTACTATGGAGAGAGATTGTAACGAGTACGTCAAGAAATGTATGAAGTGTCAAATCTATGCAAACTTACAGCATGTTCCACCTTCGCTTCTCTACACGTATACTTCTCCATGGCCTTTCTCCACTTGGGGCATTGACATCATTGGAAAAATAACACCACCAGGACAAGGGGGGCATGAATTTATTCTCGTAGCAATTGACTACTTCACCAAATGGGTCGAAACTGCCTCATATGCCAAACTGACGGCAAAACACGTAGCTCAATTCGTTAAGAAAAATATCATATGCCGCTATGGGGTACCACATGAGATGATTAGTGATAATGGAACACATTTCCAAGCCGAATGCGCGAAATTATTACAAAAATATCACATCAAACATCACTGATCATCACCTTACAGACCACAAACAAACGGAGCAGTCGAATCGGCCAACAAAAATGTGAAAACCATCATCGAAAAGATGACGGAAAATTATAAGGATTGGCCAAGTAAGCTACATTTCGCCCTTTGGGGTTATCGAACCTCTGTTCGTACATCGACAGGGGCTACCCCATTCTCTTTGGTCTATGGCGTTGAAGTTGTACAACCAATCGAGCTCGAGATACCTTCTCTTCGAATCGCATTGGAAAGCCAACAAGATGAGGTCGACTGGATTAGAGCAAGATACGACGAACTGGTCTTACTTGATGAAAAACGCTTGGCAGCTTTGCATCATGTCCAAATCTACCAACAGCGTATGGCACGACATTTTAATAAAAAAGTCAAGACCAGGAATATCAAAGAGGGTGACCTAGTGCTTAAGGCACTTCGTAAAAATGTGTTAGATCCAAGAGGAAAATTCAGACCGAACTGGTCAGGCCCGTACATTGTTAAAGTCATCCTGTCTAGCGGAGCGGCGTAATTGGTAGACATGGACGGTAACGGCTTCCATAATTTGACCAACTTGGATCAACTCAAGAAATTCTATGCCTAATCGCATAGGTTCATGACCCATTAGAGCTACGTCTGGCCTGATTCCTTTTTAGGATAAGTAGGCAACCCCTCAAGGGGGCCCGACCACTTTAAAATAAAAAAAATCCTCCCTCTGTTGATCAAATATGCGCTCAATTCAGCATTGCGTCACGACAAATTAAAAAAAAAAAAGGGGGGGGGGGGGGGGGGAAATGCCGCGACACGGGAATTTATCCCGTCTGACGGGAACAGTGTCCCGTGCCACGTCAGCCCCTGAACGGAAAAAAGGGAAAGGGAACTTCCCGTGACACGGGATTTTATCCCGTCTGACAGGAACAGTGTCCCGTGCCACGTCACCCCCCTGTCAGCCAAAAAAGAAAAAAAAATTGCCGTGACGCGGGAATTTGTACCGTGTCACGGGACCCTTCCACCGTGACACGGCGGACTTCCAGTTTTCCCGTTTTATTTTTGGAATATTGGCGCACTTGTTGCGAATTTACTGTTCGAGTTTTTATTTTCGTTCTTCTATTGCGTCCGACTCCTTGACTCGGATAAATAAATAATAAATATAAGTCATTGTAATTTTTTATTTAAGGCTGAAATAATTAGGGCCATATTTTTCAATATCGTCGGGGGCTTCAAATAATTCCAAACGCTCCATCAACCAAATCTGCAAAAAAAAAAAAAAAAGTATGCAGATTCCCGTGACACGACAGTTTTAACCGTGTCACGGCAGACACCCACCGTGACACGGTGGCTGTTTTGTGTCACGGGGGCTATTCGGAGCGTGTTTTTACCTGCAGTAGTACCAGAGAACCCTTCCTAATGGCTTTTCGGTCAGCTTTTGCCTCGTCAAGACCAGAAAATGTTTCTCCAAGGCACGTCGACATAGGAGATCTTCCGGATTCAACATGCTCAAGCACAGACGCTAGACAAGCATGTCCTACCCTGCCGTTTGCAAATAGTAGCTTGCTAAACATGCAAAATATATATGCCCTTCTACGATATACATGATAAGACTCAGAGATAGGGCGATTAAAATATAAATTAGCAAGTTTTTCTAAGTCTACTTCATTACCACAAACAATTCTATTTAAATCTGGATCCGTTAGATTCAGATGGCGTTCAAAATCTTGTTAATAATATTCATGTAGGGTAGGCATGGCAATAAGATTTCTAGTAGGAAATCCAAAGATTGCACCAAATTCCTCCGGCAGAGGACAGATTTCATCATAATTAAATTTGAAACAGTGTGTTTCTGGACTCCAATAATCTAATGTTGCCCTTAGAAAACCATGTTCAATACCTACGTGTCGCAGGGCTAGCAAACCCCTGACATGAAATAATTCTAACTCTCTTTTTTTAGCATTGGTCAAAGAATAAGACCAGCCGCGCAATGTATTATCAAAATTCTGAGGCATGATTATTGAAAAATGAAATTCTAAATTATTTTGTGTTTCGTAATTATGCATATTGTGAATAATCTAGTCTTATTTTATAGCAAAAGCGCTCGAAACTGCCCAGAATTTATCTTTTCATACGCGTAAAACAAATCGCTGGCTTATACGCGTCCCGTGACACGGGAAATTCCACCGTGTCACGGGAACTTTTGTCGTGACCCGGCAGGTTTTGCCGTGACACGGTGAACAGTGCCGTGTGACGGCACTTTACGCGCTTTCTTTTTTCATCTTTTCCCTTATCTATCCGGATTTTTTATAATTTTTTATCTTTAATGTTTATTTTTCAGCTTTCTCTGAGAATTTTATTTCTAATAAAATTCTCACCTTTTTATTTTTATCTTTATTTTATTTTAAGATTTTATTTCTTTATATTTGTTTTGTTTTTTTATTTTATTTTTGTTTTGGGGAAGATAATTTTTATCTCTTTATCATTTTGCTTTTATTTTTATTTTTATTTCTTTTCTTTTCTTTTCTTTTTGGGGAAAGTATTTTTTATTTCTTTTTCTTTTGGGGAAGGTCGGTACCCTCCATTACTCCACTTATGTCTTTTCGTCGTGTCGTTAATAAATACACGATCACACATAAGGAGTCTCAAACACACACTAACACACACAATAATAAATATATAAACTGTAAATAATGTACAAAGAGTCATAATACATAAATATGTCAAGTGTCATCATAGTATGTACAAATAAAAACCCTCGGTCAAAAGTCCCTAGAGCCAGAATCAGTCTCATCTCCACCCTGTGCATGTGGTCCATCCTGTGCATATGGGAACGGCGAACCGAAGAGTCCCTCGACCATCCGAGTACGGGGAGTAGCGTCCCTACTAGTCGCTGTAGGCCCAGCAGTAGCCAAGCTCAAGGCAGGACCCGTCCAACCGGAAAACGGAGTAGACTGGCCCAGAGACACTGGAATCGTCAGTGAAGGCATCGTCCCATACAGCGGAACTGAGAATAAGCCCGACACCGGTGGAGGAATCCCGGACAATGGAGCTGCAAACGAACCAGGATCCAAGGGAGTCAAAACATACCTAAACTTAGGCTACGGAGGCTGCGAAAATGACTGTCACACCCCCTGACTCTGGCCCGGAAAGCGCTGGGAAGACTGAGGCTGCTGCCACTGAGCCTCCTGGGTAGTCTGAGGCTCTCGCTGAGAATGAGAATGCCGGCGAATCTCAGGAGATCGTCTACCACGACCAAGCTCCTCCTCGTCCGAGCCTCTAGGCCTCGAGCGCGAGCGGGACCTCCGTCGCTCCTGAAAGATACAAAATCAAAAGGTGTCAACAATGCAAAATAAAACAAATGGTAGAAGTAAAAAATGAATGATACCTCAAGAACGTCGCAAGAGCTCCGACAACTCGCACCACGCCGAAGCTTGATGATGCAATACTTCAGGGCGTCAACCAGCTTCATTAGTCTCATCATCTCCGGGCGGTTAGGCTGAGGATAAAACAATGAAAAGTCAGTAACAAACAATGTTAAAAGGATGAATAATGCATCCAAGAGAACTCACCGGCTCAAAGACCTCGGGCAGAGACTCCTGCGCCTGTCTGTAACCCTCTGGCGCGTCAGCAATATGGTCCTCTGTGATACCAATCGGCCCTAGATAGAGAACAGACTGAGGAGGAATCTCGATCCTCCCCACAGGGCGAATAGTCGTCTGAAAATATGATCGAATAATCAAGTTATTCGACTATTTAATACAGAGACTAATAAAGAAGATCCTCAAAAGAAATCATACCTCAGGAAGACGGGGTGGGGAAGCCAGAGAGGGAAGCAAATCCCGCGCATAGTCACTCTCCATGTGTACAAGCTCCTGCCATGGAAAAGTATAGCGCTCTCCCCTGTTGATCAACTCTCTGATCAAGCGTGAGTCCAGCATCAACTCTGGTGGAGATGAGGGCACCACAAAACGATCGCCACTATGCTTACGAACGACTCGCTCCCCCAAATACCAGACAAAGCGTCCGGTACCAACCAAAATGGTGCGGTGCGCAGAAAGACGCAAGGCCTCAGGTAGATCAGCCATCCCGGCCCAAGGACGATATTGGACATCAATGGCAACCTGAAAACCATAAAAAGTCGGCGTGAAACAACAGAAACAACGTCAGAGGGAAAATAACAGCAACAAAACTGATTCTTACGCCGACAGAAGAGGTGCCTCAGCGTAGCAGCCCACGCAGTGCAGGGACAGACTCCACCCACGACTCTCCTCGATCACGCCAGCCGGCCCCGACAGGGAAATCATGGACCGCTCCACGACGCCGGCGAGGAGCCAAGCCTGGGAAGTACTCGTAGAACCACAGCTGCGATGAAAAGTAATCTTTAGCACATGAGTCGAACAAGTTAAAGTGAAAAAAAGGGAAAAGATCATCACCTCTACGACTCTCCACAGACCATAGACAGTGATGGGAGACTCGTCATTCAGCCGCCGACAGCCATGACATAGCGATAAGAGGAGATCGGCGTATCCAAGGTTGGCCCAGCTATAGGATCCTATCTCAGGGATCCTGACCAGAGCGGGGAGGTAGCAAAGGAGTACAAGTGAACTCCTATCGGGAGAAAGGCTCATAGAAATCAGGATCAGGATGAAAATCCGCACTCGCTGCTCAGCCGTCGTATTCTCCATGTCAAAGCCATGAGCTAAAATTGAAGCCAGCTTCGATCGTCCGCTCCTAGGACCACCTCGAGACACTGGTCGGGACCTGATGTACTGAACAATCGGACCCAACAAATTAGCTGTCTCAGCCGATCCCCAAGACAGATCAGACATCTGAGCTACAGCCCGGTCGGTGAAGCGCAACCCGCTAATCATACTGAAGTCTAGGGGGGTCACCGTCATCTCCCCCCAACCAAAAATACTCCAACAATGCGCAAACGACCGTCGCACCGCAACCCTGGGGGCTGCGAAACCCTACAACCGCCGTACAGAAATCTACTAAACCAACCGATTCCCATAGGGCGCTCGTAGCAAGATCCCTCGTAATGATCAGGTGAAGTCGAGGGATCAAATCGCCGGCTCCAGAACCGTGGTGGCGAAGCGTGCCATCGACTATGCCAGAGAGTGAGAGATGAGAGACATGGTTTTCACGGCAGAAAACCAACTAGTCTGGAGTCCACGGAGGTGGAACCCACCTACCTCTACTCGCGGATGCCCGAGGCTCGGACTCTACAGCATTGTCGTCCATACCCTCAGGAATGGTGGGAGTGTCCTCCCGAAAAGCCCGACGCCGGCCGAGGGTAGAAAGATCGCAATCTCGTCGTCTAGGCATGCTATTATCAAAATCTAAATGTTTAGCATCATTTCCTAAATATTTAATTCAAGTAATAAAAATAAATATACTTAGCATCATTTCTTAAGTTATTTAATTTTTGAATTATATGCTAAATTTTTACCTCCAGGCAAAAAAATTAGCAAAATTATGGTATTTAGTTTCTCCATGACAAACTAATACTACAGTTCTCCTAGCCGCATGATACTATGTTCTCCATGACAATATAGTACATATGCAAAGTATGAATCAACACATCATTTCACAAGATTCACCACCATTTTTTCACCATTTCAAGAGCAAGACATGAACATTATTTCACGAAGAAGCACCCAAAAATGGTGATTTGCCCAATTCTCCATCAAATCATGCAATTTTTATCTCAAATCTCTCACAAACACACATGTATACATATACAAGTAAAATCATGGCAAGAATTTCAACATAAGACTTCAAAATCAAAAACCCCCAAATTGATTTTTTAGGGTTCATCATGAAATTATTTATGTGAAGCAAATTCAAAGCAATAATAAAAGGAAACTTACATGGATGTTTGTAGAGGGTCGAAAATGAGGAGAATATCGAGAAATTATAGCAAAATTGGTTAAAATTCGAACTCCAAAGTTCGAAAAAACTTCCGGCCACCAGCACGACTGCCGCGACACGGTCAACAATAACCGTGACACGACGAAGCAGTCCCGTGTCACGGCGAGCTTCAAAGCTGACGGAGCTCCGACGACTTAGGCGGCAGCTCCGAGACAGAAACAACAACAGCAAGCAACAGCAGCAACCCGCATCAAAACAAAAAAAAAAAGAGAAAAAATCGGATCTGCAGAACAACCGTGTCACGGTCGCCGTTACCGTCTCACAGTGAGCTTTGACGGCCGGCGGTTCACTTTATTCGTCGCTCGGCAATTTTGGTAAGCAAGAAGCAAAAATGGAGAAATGAAGAGGAGATGTGAAATGGTGAAGTGTGAAAGAGAATATGCGAATTTAAAGACAGAAAAGGACAAAAAAGAAAAGTAACCGTTGCAATCATTCACACGTGACTGATTCAAAAAGCAGCAAAATAAAAAAAAGGGGGAAAAAGTTCCCGTGACACGGGATCCTAATCCCGTCTGACGGGAAGTGCTTCCCGTGTCACGGCAAATGGCTAACGTGGCACGGCGAATCTGCGCTTGGTCAGGGAATATTCCTCGCATTTTTGACTAGTTTGACTGATTTTTGAGATTGTTGAGCGGTTATTTTTCGCTAGAGTTACGCGGAAAATCCCAACTGATATTTAAGGGGGGACTAAAATTACCATTTTACCCGTGACAAGCGTCAGAACCTATTTTTCGGCATTTTAAGCATTTAATACGGTCGGATAATCGGCTTAAAATTGTGAATCATCTGCGGCCCACGTTCGAGGATAATCGAACCACTATATACTTACTAATTCCAGCAATCATCGGCTTTCCTCAGGCTTGGAAAGCGTTATCGGTGGATTTTTCTTCAAGTATAGAAACCCGCCAAGTCGGCTTTCCTCAGGCTTGGAAAGCGTTAATCGGTGGATTTTTCTTCAAGTATAGAAAACCGCCAAGTCGGCTTTCCTTACGTTTGGAAAGCGTTATCAGTGGATTTTTCTTCAAGTATAGAAAACCGCCAAGTCGGCTTTCCTGAGGCATGGAAAGCATCATCAGTGGATTTTTCTTCAAGTATAGAAAACCACAAAATTCCTTTGTCGGCTTTCCTCAAGTATGGAAGGCATTATCGGTGGAATTCTTCAAGCATAGAATGACACCAAATTCGTTCGTCGACTTTCCTCATGCATGGAAGGTATTATCCGATAGCTTTCTTCAGGCTTAGAAAATTGCCAAACTCTTCAGTCGGCTTTCCTCAAGCATTGAAAGTGTTTCAACCAATGTCACTCGGTAGATTCCTTCAAGCTTAGGAAGCTGCCAAATTCGTTTGTCACCGACACACTGGTGCCAGATACGTATTCTATCCCGTTACTCTTTTATATGTGGAATTATCATTTTTCTGCAGGTATCGACGTATACAGAATGATTTAGGATCGCAGAACGTCTTAAATCATTCTCCGTCCCTATCGACTACTTTGACTATCGTTTTTGAAAGTAACGTTTCTACAAACTCAGTCAAAGAGGGGGCTTCTGTAGACACCTAAAAATGTCTCCCCAAAACCAAACCCGATGATAAATAACCTTTCACCGCCTCTATTGGTCGGGTTTAGTATTTAATCCCGAGAGTGCTTAAAAAAATCGTATTTTATTTAATTCATACCTTTGAAAGGTCCATGGATTAGTCTTGATGTTTGGTAAAAGCATAGTTTTAATTTTAGCCCAAGCTTATTAATTAATTTTAAGCCAAAACCTTTTTATTTTATTATTTTATTATTTATTTTTGGCCCAAACATTTTATTTATTTTTATTTTATTATTTTCTTATTTTAGCCCGAATAATAAAAGTTAGAAAAAAGCCCGAAATTATCAATCGGCACTTAAAAAGCCGAAAGAAATTAGGGTTAAAAATGAATTTAGACGGAAAAATGGACTGGAAGTGACCGTGTCACGGTACAGTCTGACCGTGTCACAGGAACCCTTCCCGTCTGACGGTGGGACTTCCCGTGACACGGGGTCTGCCGTGACACGGGACGTTTTGTGTCCTTTCCGCGTAAACCCTTAACGCATTTTTTATTCTGTTTTCTGAAAATTTCCCGCGTCACTCCAAAACTGTACCGTGTCACGGGAAAGTGTACCGTCTGATGGTACAGTCTGACCGTGTCACGGTACAGTCTGACCGTGTCACGGGATACTTTTTTAGGGTTTTTATCATTTTAGGGTTCCGTGTGCTCCCTCAGCGCATTTTCCCTATAAATACCCCCTCATTTCTGATGTACGGGGCAACCAGAATTTTATTATTCTTATTTTCTCTCTTCTATGCTATTAACCTAAACACTAGCCTATCCTTTTTTACTTCAAAATTCCTTCTTCAAGCACTCAAAGGAGTCCATATTTTACTCGAGGTTCTGTCCTTAAGCCAAGGCGTGAAAGGTAGAATCGTTTGAGGGTTTGGCCCCAAAATCAACCTTATTTTATTTTATTTAATTTAGTTATTGTTTTATTATTCCCTTGAAGTTACTAACTCGTTTATTATTTTGTAGTTGCAAACAAACAGAATCAAAGTAAGGATCATGCTCCTTTTATTTTTATTATTTTTCTAACGATTTTATGTTGTTGGAATTGTGATTAAATTGGTTCCAATATTAATGTTATTCTATTATTTATTGATCACAATATTGTATGTTTAAAGGGAATATGTAATTGAAAATCACGCCTAATAAGATAATTTGGACAACCGGTTTAGGATCCTTTTAATCTTATTTTTAATTGAAGTGATCACCAAATTTTTAGAATTATGTGTGCATTAATTTTAAACCAATTTAGTTAAATAATAGTTTGGAGCAAATTGAATATTTTGTTTGTATGCCTTTGAGATCACAGGAATGCTTTTCAATATAAGAATCGAGTAGAGGCCAATACGGGCGAATGTGACTCCATGACTCACTTCGTACCATCATCCCCGATCCTCCTTTCATGGTTCCGAACCATATGGAGTTAGTAATCTCATGGATTATGAATGGGGTGTAACCTTCACGGGTCAATCGTTGTTGCCTTCGTTGTCCCTTATCGTGGTTGCCTTTTTATGATCCGTGAACGGTTTACAAGTTCCTTAAAAAAACTTGTTGGCGGCTCCCTACTTTATTTGTCCCTAATTATAATGTCAATTCCCACTTCCTATGAGTGCCAAGCATATTCACAACATGCTTTTATGTAGGCGCACTTCGAGCGACGCCTACAATT